GGTTGTCCACATACTGAACGGAAACCTTAAAACATCAAACAATATAACCATTTAAAATCACTGCTACAGAATATCACAAAATTTGAGCAAATACAAAATCATTTTAATTAAACCTTTGAACCGGCTATCAGTAGTCTGAAACTTAAAACTAGGAATAACAAAGCAAATAATAATAATACAGTAAACCAAATTATATAATATAGAGTATGTCCATAACTAACAATAGGTATTATTTACTTACTCCAGATGTGTTTGTATTATCAAAACCAGCTTCAGGGCGAATCCCTCCTCTGTTTTCTACTTCTGTCACACTCTAGAACACATCCATCAATGATATAAAGATGTGTCTTTAACTTAAATATGAAATTAGATTGATAAAAACATTATAAAGCACATTAGGCACCTTTACAAGTTCATACATGCTATGATTTTAAATGAAAACCCTCGGTGAACACTCACTGTACATATGCTTGTTGTCATAATGAGTTATAGACATAACTTACGGTAAAAAGGTATAGAGTTAGGCTAATTATCTTTATCACAACCGACAAATTAGATGATGACAGTAATGTTTTTCCTTAATTCACATACCATGGCTTCAGTGACGGAGATGTCGGAGAGGCAACTAAAACTGTCGTCGATCAGTTAATGGTGTACACTCAAAAGTCGATGTATCTGATTCTTGTCCTTGGAAATTCACATCTATTCAACTTTTACTAATCTACAGATGTTTGTAATCGCCCTAAAACTTAAAATCCTTTCTTGGCCCTGCACCAATTCATTGCATGTGTGAATGGCGCCTATTTTGTGTGACGTCTTTGCGTGTTTACGTCATGTCTTCTACATCATGCAGATCTGCTGCTTACTTTTTCAGGCGATACATAAAATGTGCATATTATGTAGGGGGTGATAAGGTACAAAGGTGGGCCTAGCTGTGCTTTGCACATCAAACCATCCGATTTATCCCAACAGAAGAGCAGAGCTTAAAGCACAGTTTATATAAAATCCTCTGCATGTTACTTTATGAACTTTAACATGCAATTTTAAGTTTCAACTACAGATGTCGATAGAGAGCCTAAAGTGTTTATGTTTGTCTTTGTACATGTGGCCATGTGCAAACTGGAAATTTTCTTCTTAATGCCTTAGTAACATGGATCATTTTTATCTACACTGCTGTCAATTAACGTTCAGAATGTCCAGACAAACCAGTTTAAGTCTGTGTTACCTTTCATGTCCTCGTAGACTTTGGTTAACCTTGTAGACCTTGGCTTCATGTGCAAAGCACATTCTCGACCCAAACCCTCATTACGGTGCTCAGAAATATGTTGAAGTGATGCCATTGCCAAAAAGACGCATAAGAAATCCAATACAGAAATTAATATGGTATGATAGAAAATTACAAATAAAGTAAAGCAGAAATGATTTGTGAAGATGATTCCTGGGTCACTGCCTGGAAAAGACTGATGGGCTTCAGATATATCTCAATGATCTGGAAGCTCACAGGACTCCTCCCAAATGTTCAGTAATTCATTGGTATGAACTTTATACATGCTTCAACAAGCCAACCATTTCCTTTAGGAAGTTATAAGAACCAAGAAATTGAACAGCATCAGTTCAAATGTCCTAGTTTCATTAAGTCATTATGAATCCTTTTTTGTTTTTTGTTTTTTTGTCGAACTCCCTCTTTTCACAATTTTGTAAGACAGCACAACTTCCTAAGCAACAAACAACCAAAAAACTTCATTCCCATTATAGCTTTCTTAAAAATTGAAATGTGTATATTTGGGAAAATAAATGTTGTTATATTTTATCAGGATTAAACTGCCATGCAGTTGGTTGAATCGGTGAACACTCACTGTACATATGCTTGTTGTCATAATGAGTTATAGACATAACTTACGGTAAAAAGGTATAGAGTTAGGCTAATTATCTTTATCACAACCGACAAATTAGATGATGACAGTAATGTTTTTCCTTAATTCACATACCATGGCTTCAGTGACGGAGATGTCGGAGAGGCAACTAAAACTGTCGTCGATCAGTTAATGGTGTACACTCAAAAGTCGATGTATCTGATTCTTGTCCTTGGAAATTCACATCTATTCAACTTTTACTAATCTACAGATGTTTGTAATCGCCCTAAAACTTAAAATCCTTTCTTGGCCCTGCACCAATTCATTGCATGTGTGAATGGCGCCTATTTTGTGTGACGTCTTTGCGTGTTTACGTCATGTCTTCTACATCATGCAGATCTGCTGCTTACTTTTTCAGGCGATACATAAAATGTGCATATTATGTAGGGGGTGATAAGGTACAAAGGTGGGCCTAGCTGTGCTTTGCACATCAAACCATCCGATTTATCCCAACAGAAGAGCAGAGCTTAAAGCACAGTTTATATAAAATCCTCTGCATGTTACTTTATGAACTTTAACAGGCAATTTTAAGTTTCAACTACAGATGTCGATAGAGAGCCTAAAGTGTTTATGTTTGTCTTTGTACATGTGGCCATGTGCAAACTGGAAATTTTCTTCTTAATGCCTTAGTAACATGGATCATTTTTATCTACACTGCTGTCAATTAACGTTCAGAATGTCCAGACAAACCAGTTTAAGTCTGTGTTACCTTTCATGTCCTCGTAGACTTTGGTTAACCTTGTAGACCTTGGCTTCATGTGCAAAGCACATTCTCGACCCAAACCCTCATTACGGTGCTCAGAAATATGTTGAAGTGATGCCATTGCCAAAAAGACGCATAAGAAATCCAATACAGAAATTAATATGGTATGATAGAAAATTACAAATAAAGTAAAGCAGAAATGATTTGTGAAGATGATTCCTGGGTCACTGCCTGGAAAAGACTGATGGGCTTCAGATATATCTCAATGATCTGGAAGCTCACAGGACTCCTCCCAAATGTTCAGTAATTCATTGGTATGAACTTTATACATGCTTCAACAAGCCAACCATTTCCTTTAGGAAGTTATAAGAACCAAGAAATTGAACAGCATCAGTTCAAATGTCCTAGTTTCATTAAGTCATTATGAATCCTTTTTTGTTTTTTGTTTTTTTGTCGAACTCCCTCTTTTCACAATTTTGTAAGACAGCACAACTTCCTAAGCAACAAACAACCAAAAAACTTCATTCCCATTATAGCTTTCTTAAAAATTGAAATGTGTATATTTGGGAAAATAAATGTTGTTATATTTTATCAGGATTAAACTGCCATGCAGTTGGTTGAATGAAAATCTCCACAGCTGTAATCACTGATTCACAGTAATGTGCATTTTAATTCATTATGTTTGAAAATATTTTAGCATGCTTGACAGAAGTATACTTATTTTGATGTGTTGACTAATATACTAAAGCATATGTAACTTGATTATAGTTTAAATGTATTGTGTTATTTGATATTACATTCACAGTTAATAATATCGTAAATTTACTAAATTGCAACTTTATCATTACAAATGCGTAATTACAGATATATGTAAATACATGACATACAAGTTTCAATAGAAATGACATTGAAGTATATTTACATTTACCATAACTGCTTGTCAGTACATTCAACAGTACACTTATTTCAAATTAGAAGTACTTAGACATTACATATAAAGATGCAATTAAGTTCTACTTAAGTGGGTCAAAAAAGCACTAAAGTTCAACTATACTGAACAAAATTATAAACGCAACACTTTTGTTTTTGCCCCCATTTTTCATGAGCTGAACTCAAAGATCTAAGACTTTTTCTATGTACACAAAAGGTCTATTTCTCTCAAATATTGTTCACAAATCTGTCTAAATCTGTGTTAGTGAGCACTTCTCCTTTGCCTAGATAATCCATCCACCTCACAGGTGTGGCATATCAAGATGCTGATTAGACAGCATGATTATTGCACAGGTGTGCCTTAGGCTGGCCACAATAAAAGGCCACTCTAAAATGTGCAGTTTTACTGTATTGGGGGGTCCGGGGGGGTCCGAAAACCAGTCAGTATCTGGTGTGACCACCATTTGCCTCACGCAGTGCAACACATCTCCTTCGCATAGAGTTGATCAGGTTGTTGATTGTGGCCTGTGGAATGTTGGTCCACTCCTCTTCAATGGCTGTGCGAAGTTGCTGGATATTGGCAGGAACTGGAACACGCTGTCGTATACGCCGATCCAGAGCATCCCAAACATGCTCAATGGGTGACATGTCCGGTGAGTATGCTGGCCATAAAAGTGTTGCGTTTATAATTTTGTTCAGTGTAATTGCATTTAATATAATGATTTAAACTATAATACATTTTCATTTAATTGCAATCATTGTGATTGTGTGTCCGAAAACATTACATTCAGTTCACACCTAAGTATATTCTTTTGAAGTATATTATTTCTGTAATAAGTAGCTAATCTTTTTAAAGGTACGCTAACATGTACTTCTTTTTAGGGTAAGGAGGACTGTTAATCTTTAAATGTAAAGTGTTTATTAATAAAAATAATTATGCTTGTGCGCTGGAAGTTCTAGGCCTATTTACTGTCATCCCTGCAGCTAATTATGGGTTTTCCAAAGGTTAATATTAAAAACGAGTGCACTAGCCTGCTGTATAGAGCTGAGTAAGAGATATTGGTAAGTGAGTTAATGAAGAGCATTTGCGTCTAGCAAGTGGGTCTTTCTCTGCTTCTTGAGTCCTGTATTTTGTAGTGTACTCCCTATGTTTGTGTGAATTGGAGAGTAGAGTACTGGCAGTGTGGTTTGAAGGTCTAGTTTTGTGTTTGAAGGTTAATTTTTACAGATTTCCTGCTCCTTTATTCAGGAAGGGACATATTCATATTGACATATTCTAAGTCACTACACAGACCTCTTGAAAGACCAATGTGGACACCTTTAATTCATTGCAAAATGGCTATTGACAGAAGACACAGATGATGGTGAAATCTTTAAAAAAGTATAAAGGGTGAGATATTAAGGTCTTGGGAGGCATTTGTCTTTCTTGTCTTCACTTGCCGTTACAACAGAACCGGTCTGATGGAGTTTTTCCCCCTCTAAGGCAAGATTTTGTTTACTAGTACAGTTGTGGCTTTATGATCATGAACTGCCATCTGCAGAAAACAAAACCAGTCTTTTAATACTAAGACGCTAGTCATTCAGTTTTGGAGTGGAAGTAGTAAAGCATGTAAACCTACCAAGTGTTGCTTGTATATAGCGAATGTCACCCGGTCATAGATTATCACTCCACCCGATCCTTTAGGGTTTTCCACACACTGGAAGGAGGTCTAAATGTACCATTGCATTTGTTATTGTCATGAATTACTTTTAAGAATTTACAAAAATATATATTAATGTCATTATTGATTATATTGGTAATCAGTAATTCATCTCTTGAATATTTTGATCAACTAATCTGATGTATATGGTATAAAGAGTATGATAGTATTATATAAAGTACACTCTAAAAAATGCTGGGTTGTTACAACCCAACTTTGGGTCAAATATGGACTAACCCAACTTTTGGGTTAAAACTTTAATTTAAAAATTTAACCCAACAGCTGGGTTAGTCCATATTTGTCCCAACGTTGGGTTGAAACAACCCAGCATTTTTAGAGTGTATGGTATAAAATATGCCATTTAGTTTCTTTTACAAAATCCACTTTAATGTTATTTTAAAAAATAAATTAATGTGAGTTATTCATTATGGGTTAACACAATGCCAGAACTGTCTAATATTATGCTGTATGCTGTATTAAAAATGGTAATGAGTCAGCCATTTTTCTGACTTTATATGGAAATGCGAACCATTTCACAAACAAACACAAATACCTTAATTTGATCCATTGTGGGTTGATGGGGAAGGCAGAATATTGTACCCTGAAAACAAATGCAAATAAAATAGTAGTTAGCAGGACCTAGAGACATATCCTAACAGAATAAAGGTTGTAATTAAAGAAAAAAGGTGGTTCAGCAAAACACTGACACAAGGGGGTGATCCTTTTTCTAACTCAATGATTCTGTTTTTTTTTCTGACATGTTGGAGTCATATCTTTCACTTGGATGTTATAAATTGCTCTGAGTAAATACAGCTGGATAGAACAAAAACTATGTCTGTCTTCATTTCAGGCTGCAAAGCAACAACATGTGATTATTTTAAAGCGGGGTGATTATTTTCTATACCCACTGTGTGTTTAGACAGCATGTTTTATCATGACCCTGCCCTGAAGGCACTGAAAACCCACTTTTCAAGTGAACAAAAGATTCATTATTCAATTTATCGTATGTTATGACGATAGCTTATGGATCGGGCCTTGTGGGTTTCCAACGGTTTCCAGACCAGAACTTTAACCATTATACCACAGGTTGTACATAAAGCATGTTTGATACTGCATGTGCTATAAAGTAATATTCAAAACTGTAATATTCAAAAGGCCTCATTATAGGCCTCAATTAAGTAGTTTGATAATCTTGTTGGATGAACAAGTGCCCAAAACAAGAAGCCAACAAAACTTGCAACTAAATAATAAATAATAGTAAATAATTTCAGTAAATTTAGCGATTTATAGGCTAACCACAGATGCAACATGCAGGCTAATAGGCTAACAGCCAACGAAACTTAGAACTGCTGTTACAGCTTCAGTAGTTACTCAATATTATCAATATCTTCTTTAATTGTAATGATAGACTAATAAAACATTTTGATGGAAATATTAAAGATTTCATGAGCAATATTTACATACCATAATAACCGTGCTTTTCGACAACTGACAACAAGAGCGTGCGCCACCTAACGAAGAGCTGAAGACTAGCAATAAAAAGTTTAATACGAATGAAAAATATACGACTAACAAATAACATTGTAAAGATAATTACATTTTATCAATTATAATTGCATATTATAAATTAAACATATTTTGTTTAACTGTATAATAAATGTATATATGATAATTATTTCTGGATAGAATCAGTAGGAGTCACAAACTTATATTTTAAGAACTAATATTGTCTAATATTGTAACAGCACATTTATTATATGCCTGTTACAGGCTTTATAAATAAATAAATAGCCATAAAAGCCGATCAAGCATTTTGTTTCATTTAAACAAACTTATCTGTCACTTCTGTGTCTGTCACTTCCAATCACAACCACGTTTTGCTGCTGTCTTCATGTCTTGAACTTATAGATAGAGGCTTCCATCCTTTAGTTGCTCTTCAATGGTCTTCTGAAGGTTCTTCTATGATCTTTGGTCTCAAAATCAACATGACAAATGTGAACATAGTTTTAAAAAAAACTGATTGATCCATAAAATGACAATGATGTGGTAGTTTTCTAGCTTTAAATGAAACTGATACAAGCATGCAAGCACAGGATGTAGCAGTGACAATATCAAAATATCAAAAACCAAACCCAACAGCACAACCCACTAATAACAAGCATGCAAATAACATTTGAACAGTCAGTTCTCTAATTAGTTCCCAGAAAATAACATTTAATGTGCTTTTGATCCCCTTATAACAAATGCATGTTTAACTATAGGTTTATTACATTATAATCATTTAATTTAAATAGCTAAATCCACTTTCAACATTGGGCTTTCACGTTTTATGGGGACATTCCATAGACGTAATGATTTTTATACTGTACAAACTGCAAATTGTATCCCCTACCCCTAAACCTACCCTTACTCTGTATGATTTATAAGCTGTTTTCCTCATGGGGACCAAAAATGGACACAAGGACAAAATTTACTGGTATCACTATCCTCGTGGGGTCCCCATAATGTAGGGGATACCAGTACACACACACTCTCTCTCTCTCTCTCTCTCTCTCTCTCTCTCTCGTACACACACACACACACACTCTCTCTCTCTCGTACACACACACACACACACACAAACATTTGGAGGTTCGTTTATATGTTTATATGAAATGTGAGAAACATTTATACATTAGATGTTATTTGTAATTAGTAGTAGTTTTTATTTATTAGTTTATTTTTTGATGTTTGTGATTAGTTGGAACCAGTTGTGATTGATACTTGTTTTTGTTTTTTTGTTTTTTTTTTGAAGTTATTTTATTAGTTTTAAATTGTATAATAGACACCAAACAAAACAACAACAATAAAAAATAAAAAAAAATACATAAAATAATGATAAAAAAAATAATAGTAATAAAAGAAAGAAAAACAGGGCATATAAGCAGTTTCAGTAGAAAAACAAAGAAGCACTCAATAGGGGGCAGACAACATACTAAGCACTACTTTGCTGGTTGGAGTCAACATTACATTATTCCAAATTATCTAGAAATGGTTGCCATATACTTTAAAACTTATCAAGATTACCCATAACTCCATACCAGACTCTTTCCATGTGCAAAATTCCAGTAAGATATGTCAACCAGGTCTTAAACTGAGGAACATTGTCTGATTTCCACAACCTTAGAATGATACTCTTAGCAATAATCATTCCGTAAATTATGGTACATTTTACAGATACATTATAATCTAACAGAGAAACAGAATACCCAAATAATGCCATTTCTGGATCAGGTGTAAAAACACAACCACTAAGAACCACTTAAATATGTCACACCAAAAATCGCCTTCTGCAGATTTACACCAGTCAAAAATAGGAGAGATAGTAGGAAAAATTCTGTGCAATTTAGATTTTGAATAGTGCAGTCTACACTCTTAAAAATGCTGGGTTGTTTCAACCCAACTTTGGGTCAAATATGGACTAACACAACTTTTGGGTTAAAAATTTAATAAAAAAATTTAACCCAACAGCTGGGTTAGTCCATATTTGATCCAAAATTGGGTTGAAACAACCCAGCATTTTTAAGAGTGTATGCATCACCTTAAACTGAATTAACTGATGCCTAGAATTAATAGAGCAAGATCGAATCCTGCTGAGGCTCTCCATCAGCCTCAATCTGTGTGCCCAGTTCCTCTTCCCAAGCATTTTTCAAAAAATGTGTAAAAGAACTCACTTTTTGAGAACATGCATTTACAAAATCTGAAACCAAATGTTTGGAATCAGGTGAGCCCAACAATAGCCTATAAATCCTTCTTTCCTCCGGCAAAGATTCAAAATTGGCTATTGCATGACATACATAATTTCTAATCTGTAAATGTCGAAAGAAGTGTGTTGTGGGGAGAGAAAACTTCTCTTTTAGCTGAGAAAATGAGGCAAAATGTTCAGTAGCCCCTCACTGCAGAACACAAGATCCAGGGGGCGTGGTTGGATCCACATCTAGGGGGTGGAGATGGGTAGATCCAACCACGCCCCCTGGATCTTGTGTTCTGCAGTGAGGACCATCTGAAAATGTTTGTTAATATATAAATCCTCTAGGGTGACTATACCACTCAGCCTCCAGATATTGAATGTCGTATCAGAGATAGAAGGGGGAAATGCATGGTTACGATATACCGGGGCAGAAATAGCCGTGTCAGGTAATTTGCAGCCCTTCTTAATTTGACGCCATATTTTCAAACAGTTTGAAACAAAATTATCAATCTTAGATGCAAGCGATCCAGGATCTGAAAAGAGAAGGGCTGGAAGCAAACTATTTTTAATTTCATTTTTTTTAATAGCAACCCAGGGGGGGTGTATCAGTCGAGATTTCCACTTTATAATCCTCCTGCCAATAGACAAGGGCCCTGGCATTCGCTGCCCAATAATAATGTAAGAAACATGGTAGCATGTTTTATGATGGATATATTATCAGGGACCCCGAGCTCCCAAATATTTTTTTCCATCCAAAATAAACATTTATGCCATATAGGGATATTGTCTTTTGTATCGTATACTGTTTTATGCATGCTTATGATAGAATCCTTAGATAATATAACCTCACCTGTAGCATGTTTGCTATCTACAAATTTGTATTTTGATTATCTAAACGAGAGGATATACTATATGTAGATACCTATGCAACATATTAGTGTTCTAAGAATCTGTAATAGTTTTTGCATCAGCATCCAATCCAGTTACATATGCAAAATACCATGCTCGAAGACAAAGAGTCGTAAACTTTCCGTCCGAAAGTGTAAGTCACAATTGGCTCTTTGACCTCCATAGAAGTTAAAAGGCCTCACATCAGTGACCCGCCTAGCTTTGGTCTGTCTCTTCTCTCATCACCTCCCCACTTCTGGTTCCTGGGCTGGCCTCAACTACAGCCATGTC